CCTTCTACTAGGAAAACTTGAAGAAATACAATTGATATGCAAATTTTGATTATTTTTAGTTAAGAGAGACTCGTGTTTTGTAATCTTGAGTTTTTGTTCAGTAGCCAGATTTGATGAGCATCTATATAAACTTCAAATCACATTGAATATTCCAATAAGAAATGTTTTATTTTTTCTAAACGCTATTCCATTCCTTGATGTATTGGCTCAGGATGCCAGAGGATTTGTCTTTGTCATTTTTTGAGTTAATTGATTTTGTTTCAATCACTTACCTTCATTATTGGCGGTTGCTATAACAACAAAGGAACTATATAAAACTCCGTGATAAATCTTTTTTCCTCGGAATATATTATTTATTCCTCTATGAGGTCCTATGGACATTTTTTCATAATATCTTATTATTTAGATCTGTATGGTAGTCAAAATTTACACACACAAAAAAGTAAGCCTAAAACAACAAATAAATAAGAAAAAATAAAATAAATCACTTGTATGATTATTTCTGTGACGATATCACACACACAAAAACTCTCGCTGCTTGCCACAGTACCAACAACGACAACAACAGCAGCAGCAACGCCGACGATAATCTTCGTGACGGCCATCTTGGGATCCCTGTGTATGAGTTACTCGAAGAAGGCAGAACGCAGGCCACGCTGACGATATGACAACGACAATTACAACAACGACAACAACGACAAAGTCACATACATAATAATGTCCTAAAGGAGCGTTTATTTGTGTTTGATTAAAAAAATAAATACATCGTATAATAAGGGACTGCGCAACATTTATCAGGGGGTGTTGAGAATCCAGAGTTGGGGGCAAAATCTAATTTTATGTGCTTAAAGAGGGGGGAAACTCCTAAAATTAACTAGAACTTTAATTGGATATTGCGCAGTCCCTAAGCATAAACTTGCATTCTCTCTAACCGTCCAAGTTCATTCCGCGTTTATCTCCAGTCCAGTACGTGAACCTACAGGCTTCTTCTCAGACGGAGGCAATGGCAGTCTGTATTGGTCGAATACCCGAACCACTTTTTTCTCGGACGAGTATGGCAACGGAGCACGGATCGAGCAAAAACCGTCACTAGCCTGGGGAGGAGGTGGAGAGTATGGAAGAAAAATTGAAAATTGAAAAATTGAAAATTTTCAAGGTGTTTTTCTTATGTGTGCCCTCCCAAAACAGCTCATCCATGGACAGCAGAATTTTATAGTCAGAAATCGATCATATCCAATAGATATTGGAATAATTCAAGCTAATAATAACTAAATGTTTATTATT